CGGCTGGGACGGGGCGGGGGCCCCCCGCCGACTGCCCCCGGGGGCGGCTGAGCCCCTCCTGGGAGAGGAGCCGGTCGGCTGGCTTGAGTGAGGGAGGGAGCCGGGAAAAGCAACCTGGGTTCCGATTTCCTCCAAAGACTGCTGAAGGGTAACATACAATAATGTGATGATTTCTTTCTTTTCCTTTTTTTTTTTTTTTTTGGTTAATCCCCCCCTGCATTGGGTTAGATGCGATTTTAAAAAAATAAATAAAGTGGAACTGAAAATATGTGTAGAGCCCCTTTCCCCTTCTCTAAAATGCCAGGCAGTGATTCTGTACCAAAATCTTCTTTATGGAGTTCTGGTGGGTTTGAAGATGGTAAGAAAAACTCTTGCACGATTCCTAACACATCTTTATCTCCCCTGGTGCGGAGGGGATGCCCTTGGAAAGCATAATGCTGAAAATCAGACTTTTGTATGAAAGCAAATGTTCAGACATGATAGTAATAAAAAAAAACCAATAAATGATATTCATTTTTATAATTACCTCAATTGTTTGGGAATTACAGTGTTGCTTATGTACAGCTGGAGGGGATGCTTGCTTACAATAGCAACGTGGACTTTTTTAAGGGTATGGGTGGAGGGCTGGTGTGCAACATTTGACGTGTTCAAAGATTAGCTGCTGTCGCAGAAACAAGTACAGATCTCGCAACTGTAGTGCAGGTTTTATGGCTATGTCAAAGCAGGTTTCTATTTAACTATTGTCTTTTTTTTGTTGTATTTGAAAAATCTTTCAAGTGCCACTGTATTAGTGTTCTAAGAGTTTTAAAACATTTGCCATCACAACAGTATTTATTTTTGTCTTGACATGTACGTCCCGGAGTCAGTGTCAAATAGAAGTGGATCTACAGCGTGACAAGAAGTGCAGGATTTAAAAAGACATTTATCATACTGGAAACATTAGCATGTGTGAAAACAAAAATAAAATTATATATATTCTATATATTCTATAGTGCTAATAATACGCTAAGCTATTTAAGATATTTCTTGACGATTGGTAACAGGGAAGCATAGAAAAATGCATTAAATGATTTATTTTTCCCTTTTGTCCGAGTGTTCAAAGGTATATTTATGTACAAGGAGGGAGGAAACGTACAGCTGTGTGTTCATAGCTGTAATGGAGCTTTTACAGAGTCAACCTAGCGTTTGATTTCGGAGCGCTGGTTAGATATGGGTTTGTTGTGAATTGTCATTGCTGTACGATGGAGCCAGATGGTGGTCTGGCTCTTTCTGGGAGCTTTGCCTAGAGACTGTCCCATCGTTAAAACTTGATTAAAAAAAAAAGAGAGATTTTACTACTTCTGCTTTTATAATTTCCTGAAAAATTCTCGGTTTATTAAAGGTTAAGTGGTGTGTTGCATATGAGAAGTGCAGACACCTCAAGTAGTTTTTAATCTTGGTGGTGTTCTCTGATGCTCTTTGAAGGCTTATTTTGGAACTTGAGTTTTTAAACAAAAGTGATTTTGCCAAACTATTCTCTTAGGAGACTATAGACTTTTCTACAGGAAGTACATTTTGCATTGCCTATTTGGGTGTTGTGCCTTCAGCAAATGTGAAGAGTGAGTAGGAAAAAGGAAATTGGTTTGTGAAAATAAATTGATATAAACAGGATGCTGATAAGTGTATGTGTGTGTATGTGTGAAAATTTCAGTGATGTGTAATATGTCTATTTCTTGTATTAGTACTTTTAAGTTAAACAGGTGATAACTAGCTGCTACGCAATTTGAGTTCTTGATGAAATTTTGGCATTAGTTGTTGAACTTACTCTGAAAAGGAAACACATTTAATAAACTAGTTAAAAGATTATTGCATAAGGTTGCCTATACACTTGCTGAGTGACTACATTACAACGTGTCCATTCCCTCCGTTCATCGCTATCAGCACAAACAACATTATAAGATCTCCCAGTGACAGATACTATTAATTGGCCTGTTAGCATATAGGATATATTCCTAAATTCCACATAGCAGTGCTAAAAATGGGAGGGATAGCTAATTTGGTATTTAAAATGCATATGAAGGTACTTTTGTCTTTGTGAAATTAGTTCTCACTGTGTGTATTCTGAGTGGATTTTGGACGGCTGGGTTTGGGCTGTACCCTGTGCTTTGCTTTTCTTTTTTTTTTTTTTTTTTTCCCCAGTCGGTATGTCCTGGGGCAGTGCTTGAAAATCTGATCATCTGCTTATGATGAGCGTGTAGCTTGCTTTTGATCCATCCACTGCTTTATGAAGCCGGCCTACTACCCTCCGCACAGTTCTGTCTGTCTGTCTGTCTGTCTCCGAACAGCCGCGTGTGTTTGCCAGCGCTGCTGTCGGCAGGGCGAGCGGGCCCGGGGAGCGGCAGAGCCTCCACAGAGCGGTGTGGTGCCCGCGGGGAAGCGAGCCCAGCTGCCCCTCCAGGCTGGGACACTGCCCTGCCATTTCGCATCCCGCTGTCTTAAGTAAGAAACTTTGCTGTGGTTTCTAAATGGGGCTTTCTCATGACAGCACATTACAGCATAAGCTCTTTTGATTTGGGGGGCTGAAGCACAGTCATTTGTGTGTGCAGAATTCCGTGGGCTCTTCTGGGAAAGTTTTTTGGGTGAGTAAAGTGAACAGGAATTAATTGTCTTTGGGCGTCTGAAATAGATGAGCCTGATTGACTTCGCTTCCAGAAATCTCCTTTGGATTCTAATTACATTAAAAAGCTCATCCTGTCGTTCTGAGAGCACTCACTGCTCTGCTAATAATGGTGCATTGCAAGCATCTGCTTCACTTTACTGATCCGAACGGTGTGCCAGTGGAGTTACAGCCTCGGGGTCTGGTCCATAATTTGAGCTCCACCTACTACATTGCAGCAAGGAATTACCCAACGTACTGTACAATTGTACCTGGGCATGTTTTGGTGAACAGAAGTAATGCAAAGCTCATTTTGTGAAAATAAAGGACTGCAGTTTTGTTCAGGTAAAGCTTCAGGAGGACTGAATGGAACTCTGCTTGTGTAAAATGCCAGTGGGCTAAGCCGTACGTTTAATGCTGCTCCATTAAAAAAATAAGTATGTGAACAACTGGCAGTTAAAAAAGGCCATTTTTAGTCCTTTTTTATATTCAGAAAAGAGGATTAGAGGACTTAAAAAAAAAAAAAGCCAAACATAGTTGAAAAAAAATGAAAAGTTTTAAATATGGAAAATTATAGAGAAAAATAGGGTATCAGAAAGATTATGAACATGGTTACAAAAGAGCTCTGCCTGTTGTGAGGAGGGACATCTAGCTGAGGTCAGAATACTTTAATACTTGACTGTTATGCTTAAAAATAGCACCTGGGTTTGCTTTCTGTCTGATTTAATAATTACAGTGTGCTGCTTCAACTGAAGCTAATGCTTGTGTTAGTGAAGAATCAATAGCACATACAAGATACAGGGTGCACTAAGTTGCGCTGAACTGTTTGGAAGACTTGGCACGTCGTTTCGATGGAACAGAAAGGCCAGTGCGCAAGTACGTGTTGTTTTCTGCTGTGAACAAAACCAGAAAATAGTACGAGTATTGTAAATGGTAATGATCGCTCAGTGCAGGAAAACATAGGAAAACCCTCTGTCCTCCACTGAATCAACTTAAAACACAAGACGTGTAAAAGTGTGCAAGTTGCTGCAGCTGACCTAATAGTGAAAAAATGGTTAGATAAAGTATCTTTCGGTCTTTCTAACAAATGGAGGAAGTTCTTCATTTTTCCGATAACTTCATAACTTGTCAGGTGTTAAGCTTCATGCCCTGACGGGTACAAGGAACACAACTGACTTAATTTAAAACCACAAACTTTGTTTTTTAGTTATGATTTGAACTCTGGTCTCTAGAGATGAAATACTGGTGGTTATAATCAATTCTGAAACCAGTGTTTTTCATCCTGGAGGCCAAGAGAAGAAGAGTGGGATTATTTTTTATTTTATTCTTTATCCCCCTCCCTTCTAATTGTTGTGGTGTGTTTTAAGTGTCCTTGAAAGTGAAGAGTGTTTCACATGAGCTTTTGCACACTGCAAGGGGTGGTCTCAGTCTGTGTTTTGGTTTTCTCCTGTGCATCCCTTTAAGTGCAGGCATGGGTCTCTCTGGAGCGGTGAGTGCCAATTGCTTCCAACTGTGTGGGGCTGCTTTACGTGAACAGACTGAACGTCAGGCAAATGCTGCCTGTGTTACTTAATCAAATGGATCAAAAATGTTCTTATTCTAGTGCCATTTCAATTAAGGGTGTTGTACCAGGATAAATACTGCTCTGCTGGAATCATGCATATGAATAAGGCAAGCAGATTTAATTTGGAGGGTCTAAGTGAGCGTGAGACTGCTCGCCAGTGATGTATCTGACTTCGATGGTCAGTGCTTTCTGCTAGTTCCTGGCAGTCTTTGGATGTGGTTTACATTTCGTATCAGAGCTCCTGAGCAAGATCTTACGAAAATATGCAAGTGTTCTAAAATAAAAAAATACATGGAATAACATCTCAGCAATATTCATTATATTGCACACATTTAAAGAAAGAAACAAGGTTTATCCGGTTTGCTTGGATTCACTGGTATCAAATGAGTTCTGTTAATGTGTTTAAGTAAGAGCTCTTGGCTCCATGATTCTTCACATAAGTTAACGTCCTGGTTTGAGGTAAAAAAGGACCAATTTTGTTCAGTAACTTTGCTTCTTAGCTAGGCCTTTTCTAACTACTGAAATTAACAGCATGTTGTGCAGACTCTCTTTGCAAAGGAAATGCATAGATTCTGTACAACAGAGACTGTTTTAACTTTGCAAGTTGAAAAATTTCCTTGTATTTATTTTTCTTTGAGGCTTGGGGTTCCCTGTATCATGAGATCAAGAAAGGATCACAAGAATGGGCCTATATTTTTGAGTCTTTAGGGTTTGGATCAATGCAAATCCAATGAGAATCAGTGCAAAACATAAGGTGTCCTGTCTTCCCTTGATGCATGAAGAGCCAGTGTTCCTCAGGCACATCAGTACCATGAAAGCTATGAAAAGAAATAATTAATAATATAAATGGCATTGCAAATGGGAGAACTAGGATTAAGGATCATGTGCTTCTGCAGTGAAACACAAAGCTGTAAAATGCATGTAAAAAATATATGGCATATTCCTTCACAGAAGAAAATTCTGTACGTAAGGGACCTGTTTACATGGACTGATGTGGGTGAGATCCCTGGTGTTCACTTCAATGTCTGATACAGGAATATGCTTGTTATGAACAGGATAGTGAGAAGGGAATTGAGATCGAGCAGTAGGTTACCATCTCTTCATTCCTATGAGAGAAGTTGGTGAGTAGCTGGGACAGCCTGCGGGTCTTTTAGTATGAGGTACCACAAATGTGTGTCTGGATACAATGGCATTCTGCTGGGATTTGGAAAAAAAAAAAAAACTGCTGAAAAACAGATGGGGAAAATCAGATTGGGGGAACTCCCCAAATGAAAAATGATTAACAAAGCAATCTGAGCAAGGAAGGCTCGTAGGAGCTGCTGAGCAACCTGTTTCTAATGGCATTTGTGGAAGCTGGAGTTGCTAACTGGAAGGGGCCCTGCAGCTACAATTTTAAGGACTCTGAAGATGCTAGTAAGCTCTAAGGGTTTTCAAGAATGCCTTCAAATGTCATTTTCATTAGAATGGGAATATTATGCAGGAGTCACTGGGAGTTATATTTCAAGGTGCCTCCAAAAATCATGGCCTCATAAATTCCTATTTTTTTCTGGTCCAACCTCCTGCTCAAAGCAGGGTCAGCTTCTGAGATCAAACTAGGTTGCTCCAGGCTTTATCCTGGTGGGTCTTAGAAACCTCCAAGGACAGAGACTGCACAGTCTCCCTGAGCAACCTGTTGCAGTGCTTGACTGTCCTCGTGGTGAACCATGATGCTTCAGCAGAACTGGCCTCAAATCACTAATTATGTTACATAAATGTCTTTTCCCTTAATTCTGTGTTTTGCCTGTGACTCCTGATGTGGGTCATGTCCTCACTTCTCTTGAACTGCAAGAGATGTTGGCTGCAGCTCAGCTGTTGTGAAGGGTCAGCAGAACAATGGTTAATGAGTAGTGATCCCAGTGGAAAAATGTGGATTCACAATTAGAATGATGCATCCAGCAATGTCCCTTGTTTTACCCAGGAGCGACAAAGAGGAGAGCAGAGGCAAAAGAAATTCACTTAAAAGAAAGGAAAGGAATACAAAGTGGTGTCTATCAGAAGTGGCTCTTTCTCTGCTATAAGAAGAAAGAAATACTGTTAAGGAAAATGGAAAGAAACAAATGATGCTACGCAGCAAGGTCAGGAGAGGATGAATCAGGGCATTTACATGTTAAAAGCAGAGAGGATAGAAACCTGAAAGATATAAGATGAAATATGCTGATGCTGTGTGCTGTAACCATTTGCGATTAATCATGATGTGCAGAAAGAATTCCTCAGTTCTAACACTTACGGTTTTAGATTCACTGGTTTTGCTCATAATTTCAAGCTGAATTTCAAACAGGAATAATTTTCATAATTATTTGGATACTTTTGATGTTCCAATTTGTTTTGGGTATAGATAGAAACAGAATAGCTGACCTTTTGTCTAAAT